GCAGCACTCGGAGTCGCTCAGCGACTCCCTCTACGACAGCCTCTCGTCCTGCGGGAGCCAGGGCTGAGAGCCCCCCGGGACACCCCGCCACCGTGGGGACACCCCGCCACCGTGGGGACACCCTGCTGCCGTGGGGACACCCCCTCTGGCCTTGGGGACAGCCCCTGGCCTTGGGGAACCTACTTCTGACCATGGGGTCACCTCCATGGCAATGAGGACACCCCCTTCCCACCATGGGGACACCCCCTCCCACCTTGGGGACACCCCCTCTGGCCTTGGGGACAGCCCCTGGCCTTGGGGACAACCCTTCCGGCCTTGGGGAACCCACTTCTGACCATGGGGACACTCCATGGCACTGGGGACATCCCCTTCCCGACCATGAGGACACCCCCTGACCATGGGGACACCTCGCCACCATGGGGACACCCCATGACCATAGAGACACCCTGCAACCATGGGGACACCCCCTGACCTTGGGGACACCTCGTGACCATGGGGACACCCCACGACCATAGAGACACCCCGCAACCATGGGGACACCCCCTGACCTTGGGGACACCCCCTCTGGCCTTGGGGAACCCACCTCCGACCATGGGGACACTCCAGGGCCACGGGGACACCCCTCCCAACCCGGGCATGGGGACACCCCCGCCATGGGGACAACCCTGGCCACGGGAACAGTCCCCAGACTTGGGGACCCCCTTGGCCATGGGGAATCCCCTCCACCTGGCAATGGGGACCCCCCCAACCTTGGGGACCCCCCATCCCACCCGGCCCCCCCGGGCTGCGCTCGCACGTCTTCCACCCCCCCGCCCGGACCCCCCCTCCCGCTCCCGCTGCCTCCCGGCTCTCACAGCACGGGGGGGACACTTGGGCGCTGCAACGTCCCCCCCTTGTCCCCACGTCCCGCCCGGCCTCTCGGATGGTGCTATCGCGTGTACAGCCCCCCCCGGCCGCCGGGGCCGGGGGGGTTTTAACTCAATAAACCCCCCCTGCCCTCCTTTATTTATAGAAAGGCCCTTTATTTATTATGCCCTTTATTTATATAAGCGCCCCTCCCGCGCCCCCCCCCGCCGCCCCAGGCAGCGCAGGCCGGGTAAATCGGAGCGGTTTTTATTGATTCCTCTCGGTACAAAGTGAGACTAACGCGAGCCGGAGGGAGCTCCGGAGCGGCTCCCGGCGCCGGGGGGGTCGCGGTGGCGGCAGCGGCGGCTCCCGGCGGCTCCTTTTTTTCCCGCTGTTTCTTGGCACTAAAGGAGGTTCCTCCGTCCCGAGCAGGCGGAGGGGGAGTTTGGCCGGGGGTGGTGGGGGGGGTCGGGGCTGCCCAATACCCCCCCCCCCGCCACTGCACTGGGGCAGCTAAAACCCCAGGGCCCTGCGTGGGGAGGGGGGGACCCGGGGCCAGGACGGGGTTCGGGGCCGGGGAGTCACCTCTAACCAAACCCAAAGAGCGCCGATGGCCTCGGGCTCCTGCCGGGGGGGGGGGGCATGGTGGGCTGGGGGGGGGGCAGGGAGGGGCCCAGACTCCAGCAGGATCTGCAAATCAGCTGGTTTCTAATCAAAGAAAAGCAAAAACGAGAGAAAACCCCACAAAGGTGCGGAAGCTCCGCGGCCGCTGGCGGCGGCAGCAGCGCAGCCCCTTTAATGGCGGGGACACGGGGACAGGGGGACACGGGGACAGGGGGACGGGGACAGGGGGACGGGCAGCGCTGGGGACGGATGGCGGCTTCACTTCTTCTCCTTCTTCTTGTTCTGCGAGAGGAGACGGGGCTGTCAGGGCCAGGGCCAGCCGGGTCCTTGTCCCCCGCCGCCACCCCACAGCCCCCCGCCATGGCCGGGACCCCCCTCAGGTGCCACGGGCGCCCCCCAGGACCCGCTCTCACCTCGGTCATGCCCAGGATCATGAGCAGCTCCCGGAAGATGTTGACAAAGTCCAGGAAGAGATCGACGCAGTGCCTGGTGTGGATGGGGGGCCACACAGTCAGGGGGCCCCCGCCTCACCCTTGTGCCCCCCGCCCCGTACTCCCCCACTCACCAGATATAGTCCTTGTCCCCGCTCTCGGCCTTCTCGATGATGAGCTGCGTGTCGAAGAGCACGAAGCCGCACATGATCATGAGCCCCACGTAGAGGTTGGCCTGGCGGGAGGGACAGCACGACAGGACTCGTGAGGACGGGGACAGGACTCGTGAGGACGGGGACAGGACTTGGGGTCCATCCTGTCCCCTCCCCTCCTGGGGGGGTGGTTTGGGGACACTCACCGTGAAGAGCCAAGTGGAGCCCACGAACGCGTTGACCACGGAGGAGAGAAGCATGAGGGTGAGGCCGGAGAGCAGGAAGCCTGGTGGGAGGCAGCGCGGGGGGTGGGTTGGGGCCATGTCCGCCCCCGGGGGGGGTCCCGGCGCCCCCCCCGGCAGCCCCCGCTCTCACCTCCCAGGTAGAGGAAGCTGCGGCGCCGGGCGAAGAGGGCGCTCAGCGAGAAGCAGGTGAAGACGGCGGCGGTGCCCAGGAAGGCGCTGGGGATGATGCTGCGGGGGAGAGGGGGGGCGTGAGCCGTGCCGGGG